GAGCACCCAACCTGGTTTTGTAGGGAGGAGGAGAAAGTTTAAAAAATCCCCCCCACCCCCTGGAACCAGAGCGTATTATGCTAAGTGAAATAAGTCAGAGAAAGACAAATATCCTATGATTTCACTCATATGTGGAATTTAAGAACCAAAACAGATGAACATAGGGGAAGGGAAGGAAAAATAAAAACAGGGAGGTAAACCATAAGAGACTCTTCAATACCGAGAACAAACTGAGGGTTGCTGGAGGGGAGGTGGGTGGGGGGATGGGCTAAATGGGGGATGGGCATTAAGGAGGGCACTTGTTGGGACGAGCACTGGGTGTCATATGTAAGTGAGGAATCGCTAACTGGGTTCTACTCCTACACTGTATTAACTAACTTGAATTTAAATAAATAAATAGATATCTCCCTACCCCCACCCCAGGCAATGAAGGTTAGACTTGAAGGATGAGGAGTTTGCCAGGCCAAGAGGTGGGAGGGGAATGTAACATCAGAGGCGTCCCTAGGGAGGAAGGCCCTGAGCTAATGCTGCCAGGCACTCATGCACACTAATGCCCTTCATCTTGTTAAACCACCCTAGGAGACACAGGCACTACTACTCTGATCCCCGTTTTACAGGTGCAAAAGCCAAGACAGAGAAATGTAAAGAACGTGCCCAAAGTTACAGAACCACGAAGAGGCAGGGCTGAGACGAGAGCCCTGGCAGCTGGGCTCCAAGGTCGACGCCCTTACCCACCACTCCCTGCTTTCCTGAGGCAGGAAGGAGCTTGGCGAACACAAAGAAGGCCAGGATGGCTGAAGCGGCCAGGGGGAGGGAAGGGAGTGACCAGAGATGAAGCCGCAGGCACCAGCAGGGCAGGATCCTGTGCCTCGAGGCTAAGAGAGCAGAGCGTGTGAAGAACTGTGTATTTTATTCCAAGAGGCATGTGAAGCCCCAGAAGAGCTCAAAGCAAGGCAGGGAGGGCCGGGATCACATCTGCAACTTTAAAGAAAGACCACACTGGCTGCTGCCCCCTGGAGGATCTCTGACAGCCTGATACCTTAGGAAAGGTTTACAGTTCTCCAATACCTATAGCTTATTCCCCTATACTTAGGAGAGGTTTACAGTTCCAATGGACAGGACAGAACATTCTGAGTTGGGGCACACCAAATTTGTACTTTTTTTTTAAATTTATTTATTTTAAGAGAGAGAAAATGAGTGCACATGTGCACGAGCCTGGGGGGGGGGGGGGCGGTGGCGGTGGTTAGAGAATCCCAAGCATGTTCTGACTCGAAGCTCGAATTCATGAACCGTAAGCTCATGACCTGAGCCAGAATCAAGTTAACTGACTCAACTGCTGGGCCACTCAGGCGCCCGAATCTGAACACTTGCTGTCTGCGGGGCCACTGGTTAGAACACACACAGAGTAACCAGCATGGTCGGTGCCACAATGCTGGGAGCAAACCTGCATTCATCCAGGGTACTGCCGGGGCCACAGGAGGCAGCACAGCACAGATCTGATCTATGAACAGATCCAGAAGCCTGACTGCCTAAGTGTGAATCCTCGATCTGCTTCTCTGGGCCAGTCAGATAAATTGCTCAGCCTCTCTGGGCTTGTTTTCTCATCTGACAGTGGGGGTTGATCATAGTACCTAGAGTTCAGAGTCGGTGTAAGGATGATGATCAGTATATAAAGGTCTTCACAGAGGGCTGGCTCGAAATACGCCCTTGAAAAACACGAACAGCTATTCCTGGTATCTGAAGGTGCTATACCCCTGCCAAAATGCCAGGCATTTTATTTTTTTCTTGAGAGAGAGACAGAGCAAAAGCAGGGGAGGGGCAGAGAGAAGGAGACACAGAATCTGAAGCAGGCTCCAGGTTCTGAGCTGTCAACACAGGACCCGACACAGGGCTCGAACTCGTGAACAGTGAGATCATGACCTGAGCCAAAGTCGGACACCTAACCGACTGAGCCACCCAGGCACCCCTAAAATGCCAAGCATTTTCAAGAAGGTAAGGTGAGCATGGGCAAGTAGCTCCAGCCAGGTGAGGGATGTGCATTTTCACAGTCGCCCATCCTGACCACAAGCTCCACGGGTGCAAGGACCCTGACTGAATTACTCAGTAAGGTAACTAAGCACAGAACCAGAGGCGGGCAGGGTACGTGCTTCAGAAACACCTGCTAGCTAAGTGGAGGAGGCTCCTGCTGGCTGTGGAGACCACATGGGACTGAGAAGGAAGCTACAGTGAGAAGGGACAGGCCCAGCAGTCCTTCAGATCTGAGTTCAGCTCAGGAAGTGCTAAGGGCCCACAAACCTGGCAACGATCATGAGGTCAATAAAATCATCCACTCTCAATGAGCCACTCACCTGGCTTCTTCACAGTTTTGGGGAGGCTCCAAGGATCTTAACCAGGACGTGAGGGGTGAGATGTGCAGGAGAACTGGGGACAGAGAGGCCACTTTCTCCCAACCACTGCCCTCCCAAGGGAGCCCCGTGCTTCAAGAACACATACACCCAAGGAGCACAGGAGGCACATGAAAATCCATTAGGATAAAATTCTACCTCCTGACCAAGGCCAAAGGCTTCTCACGGTCTACCCCTGCTCATCTCTCATAGCTGTCCTCCCCTTCCAAGTTCCACCCACACAAACCTTTCTGTTGTTCCTCAAACACACAAAGCTCACTTCTGTCTCAGGACCTTTGCCCGCGTTGTTCCTTCTGCATGTTCTTCCTCTGATTCTTCCCGTAGCTGGCTCACATTCGTTTTTCGGGCCTTAGCTCCAATGTCACCCCTCAGAGGCCTCGCTGACAACCCCAGCTCAGTGACTCCCACTTTCCTAGTCCCTCATTACCCCATTATCCTGGGGTAATCACCAGCTGAAAGTGTCGTTATTCATTTACTAACTTCCCCTCTTTGTGCCCCCACCGTAACCCAGCATGCTTCACAAAGGCAAGGACCACATCTGTTTCATTCACCACTGTGCCTGGAACACAGCTTCGCACACAGTAGGTGTTTGATAAAGCAGGAGAAATGAAAGAGGCATTCGTGATGCCATGCCTCCAGTTTCTCATTGAGCTCTCCCAAGATTCCAGGGAGGTCAGCTCCATGACAGGACATGCTGTTAAGTAGCCAGAACTACTGGACCCAAGATTCCAAGCCTGACCTTTTGAGGCACCGTGTTCCTCCCATACCTCCAGGCTCCTGGGCTCAACAAGTATTTATGCAGCACCTATCTCATGCCAGGCCCTCGGATGGGTGCAGTGCGGGGATAATGGGGGGGGGGGGGGAGGGAGCTGCAGTTGGGAAGCCACAGCCCTGCCCTCAATCCTACTTACAAGAGGTCACTATCAATGTACGTATCGCAAGCCGAGAGAAGACATCACTGTCCTTACCAATAAAAACCGGTATGTATTTCCTATTTTGTATTTACAAGAGAAACTTCCATCCTGCCTCTGGTCCCAGGGACTATTTTTTTGGTACATCTGAGAAAAATGTAAACAAAGGGACATGAAGCCTCCTAAATGCGGCTGTGATTTTTCTCTGACGAAGTCAGCGCTGAGCCTACAGAGGCTGATTTTTTTTTTTTTTTTTTTTACAAAGTCAGCCACTCTCAAGCTCAGTGTCTGCTGCTCTGTAATCACATCACAGTCCACACCCGTGTTTGTTGCTGGCACACGATAAACAAGGAAAAGGGATCCAAATAGCCCAATCGGTGTTGGTGTTCCAAATCCTCAAGTCAAGGATGGGAAACCCATCTATGATGAATCTTGAGTCAACCTAGGTAGGTGAGGAAAAAGGTGAAAGAAAATGAACGCTAAGAGGTAATTAAAGAAAAGGAGACGGGAATGAATCATCACTGAGGTCCTACTACTCACTCAGCACTGAGTCTTCTGCTTTACCTGCATCATCCCATTTAATCCTCATACCAAAGTTCAGCCATGAAACAACCAGCCCAACAGAGCTCCCAAGGGTCCGAGCTGGAATTTGAACTTGGGTTGGCAGGCCCTGAGGCCTGGGTTTTTTCCCCGTTTCCCCCACTCATTTATTGCTACAATCTACCATTCACTAAGGGATCAGTACATGAGGGCCCTCTGCTAAGTGCTCAATGAAAATCAGTGAAAGCCACAGGACAGCCCCAAGGTTAAAGAGGAAACTGAGGCTCAGCGAGGCCAAATCACTTGTCCTGAATCACAGGGAAGGAAGAAGGAGGATCTGAGGTCCGCACCAAGGTCCGATGCCCAAACCCTGACTCAAGCTCTATGCTGCTTCTGGGCTGCACCTGCCGGACAGCTCTACTTGAAAGGGCTAGGCTAAGTTAGAACATCCCATGGCAGGGCAAGCAGACTTGAGTTCTAAAAATTGCTATAGTAGCAAAATTCCCATCTTCCCACACCGAAGGGGGCTGGAAGAGCTGCAAATCTCTTTAAGATGTAAGCTCAAGGGCCAAGGGAAGAGGCTGGCCAGAGACCGGCCAGTGGTAAAGCAGCTGACATCATCCCTCCTGAATACATTTTCTGAGAATACAGGCTGCATTGTAGCTGGTCATAGCTGGTGTCTTTTCTGAGCATAGAGCCAGCAATTTATTCCCAGCACTCTGCAAGAACAACAAAAAAACACACTCTCTGCAAAAACAGCGTGGTTACAGGAGACTAGACAGCGCAATGACAGAAGCCGTTAATTTCTCCAAGCAACCCAAGGATTGGAGCGCCATGACGTGCCAGTCTGGTGGGGGGGGGGGGGGGGGGGG